AGGCAATTTTTTTCAATATATTTTTTGAAATATGAGGATTTAAAAACAAACAAAACAAAACAAACAAAAAAAAAAAACAGCCTTTGATTCTTATAGTTATAGTCAGAGAAATATCTCACTATAAATACGAGTATTTTCCAACCTTTTTGGTTTATATCAGCAATTTCTATATGATCCTCTCTTCTTTCTGTCTCTTTCTAGTCATATAGACCCGACAATTATTTTCTGTGTTATAGACAACATAACTATCTTATCGCGGTTTTGAACCACCCAGATAACTGGAGGAAAAAAACAAACTAACAAGTGATGCTGGAAAGATTTCTCTCTTTATGTATGGAACCCAATATTTGCAGTGTCAAAACACGCGTATGAGCGGAAGGAGTGTGGATGGCGTATCGTTTAATGAACACATTGCCCAGATGCAGATCTAATGAGCTCGAAGTCAGCAAACCTGGATGTGCTGAGTGCAGGTAAAAGACAGTCACTTGTGATGATATATACTGTGTACAAGCTTCCAATGACAGCAGCTCAGATGAAATGTGCTGAAAAATAAGTAAAAAGAGAGGGGGAAAAAAAGGATTTATCATCCTCCATTAAATCTGCAAATTCTACCTGGAATTTGTGACAAGGTTATATATAGGTGTCTTGCTCACCTCCAGATGTACGTAATGTATCATAGAGACTACAAGTCAGCATGGAGATTTTAGGTGCGTGAGTGGCCCTGGCTAATTCCCATCATGCTGAGATTTCAGTTGCTTGGAAACAGGGAGCTCGGAGCAAAAAATGCTCATAATGAAATTGCAATAAGATTATCTGTGCCGGGGAAGGCATTTTAAAACAAAGATCAAAGTTATCTTAAAGACACATTTCTCAGAGATCGTTTATGAAATATAAATGTCAAAATGCATTGAGAAAACTAGACGGTATGCAGAGCGACCCATGTTCACTAAGCAGTGCTCTTAACCAAAACCGCTTTGATCAAACAAATAGAATATTCATCATTTAAATTTCTTGTGTCGGTATGTGGAAGGAGTCACTAATTCTACTCAGATGTACCAAATATACCCCAAATTCTTGCTTTTAGAATTAATGTGGGAATGTGGTAGACCCAACAAAGGATTTTAAAAAGTTATGGGGTTTATCATTAAACTGGAACTTGTGGCATTACATATTATAGACCAAAATATGTTTGTTGAAAGTCTTTAACCATTAAAAGCATACATAGATTTCTCTAGTTTCCAAATATATCCTGTATTCTAGATGCTTATTACTACCGCAAATAATTGTACTCTTTTTATCGATTGAAATTTCCCTTCTTTGGATCAAACCTGCTTCTGAGATATTGTGGTAGGAGCCGTGTTGAGTGGGCGATATCACTGGCAGATAAGAACCAATTAACAAATTGGTTTTATGAGTCTGATCTTTCTATTTCTAAGAAATTCCACCTAAAGTATTAATTTATATTGTTTAGGGTAATAGTATGCCTACTTGATGCATCACTATATCCCCTCCTGCTGTTCGATTGTATTATTCACAGTTTGATACTTCAATGCAATAAAAGAAAGTAATATTGAACATCTATTCTAAACTAATCGATCGAAGAACTCATAAGAACCCTAATTAGATCTCAGAAAAGTAGAGAATGTTATGTAAATACTTATGTTTAAGTAGAATGCTTGATACTTGGCACTTAAAGAGAAACCGTGATCATGTTTTATTATAATTTGAAATGAAAGAGTACATGAATTATAGCTTCTGTGTATATTATTTATAATACATGCACTTACATCAATATGTGTTTTCAGTACATGTCCTAACTGGTGCTTCCTTTATTGGGATGGCCATCTTTCAAGGGAAACTATAGTGCCAGTAAAAAAAGTTGTTTTCCTGGCAGTATAGCTCCCTATCGTGCCCCCCTCCGTCGCCACACCCCGCCCTCGCGGTGCAGAAGGAGTTAAAAAAAAGGTTTTGTCACTTACCTGACTCCAGCACCGATGTATCTCGGGTCATGCTCCATCTCCACTCACTTGCTGACATCAGCAGGGTCATCTGGTAGACAGCCACTAGAGTTTAGGTTAACCCCTTAAAGTCAATTATTGCAGTTTATCATTGCAGGGTTAAGGGACCTGGGACAGTGCACCCAGACAACTTCAATGAGCTGAAGACGTCTGGGTTCCTATAGTGTCCCTTTAAGACCTCTTTTGTTGGAAGCACAGCTTATCCTGAAAGCATAGCTAATAAAAAGCTAGTTTGCATTCAAGAAACCTTTTATCCCAGGTGGTGGAGCAACTGAAATAGTATTGGCAAAGGAGATCCCATGCTATGGATAGACTTGTTCCAGCCTTGATCAGTATGCTATTAAGAAGCTTGAGAAAGCATTTGAATCTCTTCCAAGAGCATCAGCTAAGAATTCAGGTGTGAAATCCATTGAGGTTATCTGCAAACATTATGCAACACATCATGAAGGCAATAAGAATGTGAGATTTACCACTAAGTCATTTTAGGTCAGTTTCAGACTTTCAAACTCTGAGTGGTCTTATCAGATAAATGGTGCATCCAACCAAGTATGGATTACAGATGGCTTCACTCACAGAATAAAGTATGGAGGAAATGCATTAATGTGTGTGTATATACAACTCTTGGTTATATTACATTAAATTTAATATTTGCAGGGATAACCACAAATGATGACAGGTTTTCGTCATATTTTGCACTTTCAAGGCATGATTGCAGTCAACCTCTTCCTGGCATACTCAGTTTGTGATATGTTGTTCGGGAAGTGATCAAGAGCAATTGTGCACAAGGAAATTTCTTCCCTAGTTAGAAAACAAAGCAAAAATAGCAATAATAGAGAAGTAATACATGACTTTGAAAATGTAGACGAAGAGTTATGTTTTCTTATCTAAACTCAGAGGCGTATCTATTTTTTATATTTTTCTGATTGCTATCACAGGAAAACAAGTTGTTACCTCGAGAAAACAAGTTGTTATCTCAAGATAACAAGTCAGAAAAAAATATTAAAAATACATTCCCCCTATGATTAAACTCATAGTTTAATTGTTATACTTTAGAATCCTTAACCCATTTTTGGCACAGGATTGCTGATTACTGAGCAAGTCTCTAAAAACAATATCCTAATTTCTCTCTGTAGATGAAAACTTGCAAATTAAAGGGGCACTATAGTCACCTGAACAACTTTAGCTTAATGAAGCAGTTTTGGTGTATAGAACATGCCCCTGCAGCCTCATTGCTCAATCCTCTGCCATTTAGGAGTTAAATCCCTTTGTTTGTGAACCCTAGTCACACCTCCCTGCATGTGACTTGCACAGCCTTCCATAAACACTTCGTGTAAAGAGAGCCCTATTTAGGCTTTCTTTATTGCAAGTTCTGTTTAATTAAGATTTTCTTATCCCCTGCTATGTTAATAGCTTGCTAGACCCTGCAAGAGCCTCCTGTATGTTATTAAAGTTCAATTTAGAGAGTGAGATACAATTATTTAAGGTAAATTACATCTGTTTGAAAGTGAAACCAGTTTTTTTTTCATGCAGGCTCTGTCAATCATAGCCAGGGGAGGTGTGGCTAGGGCTGCATAAACAGAAACAACGTGATTTAACTCCTAAATGACAGTGAATTGAGCAGTGAAATTGCAGGGGAATGATCTATACACTAAAACTGCTTTATTTAGCTAAAGTAATTTAGGGGACTATAGTGTTCCTTTAATATTCTCCCGTGGAAGAAATGTATGAAGAGTTTACTTTTTTTAAATTTAGGGGCAACAGTAAAGCAAGTGCCTATCCTTGCCTAGCAATAATGGGTAGAAGTTAACGGCAAATGGATAACTGATAATCAGGGCTGAAATCTTTTTTTTTTTTATATAAGTAATTTCTGTACCTAGACTGATCTGGATATAGCCCTGAGATATGCAAATTTAAAATGCAAAGCAGATTTTCTTTTTTTTTTTGGTTAGGTGCTCTACTGTATGTTTGTAATTATCTCCACAATAATGTGTTTTTTAATAATGCATCAGATATAAATGAACGTATTTCATCTGGCCATTATCCCAGATCTTTGGAAAGTGTAATTCGTACATATCCCTTTACATATCATTTCCTTCAATAAGATCTGGCGCGCTTCCATGAAAATCAATTTGTAAATATAATCTCACTATTTATTAATGTAACTTTGCAGAATGAAATCAATATGCTGGAAAGAAAATGCTTGGCCCTTCTTATTTCATGATAGCATCTTCTGGACATTTGAACAGAGCATGATGTTTACAATCTCTGCTGCCATCTTCTGGATATCTGAGGTTTGAAAGTAAAACCACCAATTAACTAAAGAATGGAAAAAGTGGTTGCCTACGCTGTGTACAAGCTGATTTGGGCACAGCATAGGCAATTGGTTTGCACAAATGCCCTAAATGAACATTACAGCATTGGGAATAAAAGCATGCTAACATTATAGTGTCCTAGACCAGAGTTAGGCAACCTTAGGCACTCCAGATGGTATGGACTATATTACCCATAATGCCATTATAGCCATAATGCTGGCAAAGCATCAGGGGAGATGTAGTCCAAAACATCTGGAGTGCCGAAGGTTACTTATCTCTGTCCTAGACCATATTTAGCTTTTACTTCCCTTTTTTACATTTTCAAAAACCACTCTGTATTGATGTCTGCTCCTATTCCAGGACATCATCCCGGTGGCCAGTCATATGCTTCTCATATGGAAGCTGCATTTGATGTTGTTCGACAACCCCATGAATGTTACATGACTGAGTGTAACTCGGTCATGGCAGAGCAAGCACCTCTAGTGGCTGTCAGGAAGACAGCCACTAGAGGTATGTTAACCCCTTAAGGACACAACTTCAGAAATAAAAGGGAATCACGACGGAATATTTCTGTCATGTGTAATTAAGGGGTTAACACTTCAACCAGAACATTGCCTTAAATACAAAACTGCAATATTTTTTTTAGGGGTCCTGTAAGCTTGTAGCAAAGTAGAAACCTGATGGGTTATATGGAGAATGCGTCATTTTCCATCAGTGAATTCAAAAGTAATTTGCTAAATTTTGGGTCTATGTGTGACTTTAGCAGAGTTGGAAATTTTTTCACAATTCGTTTTTTGGCCTAAATTTTGCAATTCAGTTTTCATTGAAAATTGTGTGTTTAGTGAATAAATCCCAATGTGTTTCCCCCAGCATTTCCCTTGTATTGGTTATGTCCTTATATGCATTACTCTTTATGCTCTCTATAAACGATAATGAACTAAATAGTGAATTTTATTGAATTGCAAAGTTTAGGAAATGTTCAGAAAAAAAAATCACCAACCCATCTATAGTCACAGATTGGCTAATGTAGCCTGCATTTTGCAATTTTATTTTAAATGCATCAATATTTTCTGTTTGGAGAATAAATCCTTGTGATTTAATTAAAATATTTGCATACCTGTTCATATGCAAGTGGATCACCACTATTCTATTGTGCAGATTGTTGTATTTATTGCATCTATCTGGTTGTAGAGAGAAAGATGAATAGATAAACTCACAAATAGGTAGACAGTTGCCCTCTCTCTCCCTGGTAGCATGTATTCCAGTATATATTGTTTTCCTCAAATATTATATAAAGAGGTCAATGACGGCCACATTTATATCCTTTGAGACAAAAATGTACTGGAATAGTGAATAGATCGTTTTAATTCATGCTTACGCACTCCTTTGCAATATATAATGAGACAAGCATGGCAAATAGCCAAATTTATTTTATCCAGTTAAAGAATGGTTTCTAGAACAGCAGATATGAAGAGAAGACTGTTTGTTCAGAGTAAATTATCTTTAGCCCTTCAAACAGGGTAATTCCCTTAGGCTCCTAATCCACAGTAACTAAAAATTGGTTCATTCAGTGGCGCGTACAGCTTTTTCACATGTCAGGAGAACATGGAGGAGATCATGGGTATTAACAGTACAGTTTGGGAAGTCCACCCATGACAAAAATGTGTGCGCGTGGAAAAAATGCATTACATGGGCTGCCAACATATATTGCCTTTTATTTCCAATCATTCTATTCACAAAAAAAGCATCTTTAGTTATAGAAGAGCCTGATTACTTTGGCATAACTTCCAACAATCCCAGATTTGGCAGAAGAGTCCTGATGTGGAGTCCTGTAAGGCCTACACAGATAGGACTGCATCATAACATATGTTCATGTTCTGAGACATTAACTTTTGACTTGATTTGTGCAAACATTAGTTTGAGCCGAGAGAGAAAGAATAAAAGATAAGGGCTGCGCCAATACACAAATGAGAATTGCAAATAGTCCAAATAAATAGCTGTAGTAAAATAAGAAAGTCTTATCTAGAGTATGCTCTTTGTGGTTATGGGATCTATCCGTGCTTGATCCGGAGCAATTGTCCTTTATATGTTCATCCGTGAGAATCCACTCGTATATGGAAGATAAAATGGTGGAGAGCCAATAGTGTAAAATGTTAAAACACTAAAAAATGAATAAGAAGGGAAAAATAAAACTCACATTTGAAAGAGCTAAACTTGCTCTAGTATAGAAGGCGTACAGCGATTTGATCCCCGCTTATGGGATATAGGGTGGACTTCCTCCGTCAGTGGTGTATCAGACACTCGGGTAGAAAGAAACAGCCAATAGTGTACACTGGATACAATGTTGGTAATAAAATAAATGAAAATAAAATGGTTGTAAATAAATTAGAGTGTATAAAAAGGATAAGTGGCACAAATAAAAAGTAACCAAATATACTTTAATATATATAAAATACACAATTAAAATACACAATTAAATTATATTTGGTTACTTTTTATTTGTGCCACTTATCCTTTTTATACACTCTAATTTATTTACAACCTGGCATTCTCTCAACATCTCGGACTCCAAGAAATCCTAGGTGGGGATCATACCACCAGCGCTACGTCAAGGAGCAGTTGTTCTGCTCCCGCCTTGTGAGTACCCATTTTATTTTCATTTATTTTATTACCAACATTGTATCCAGTGTACACTATTGGCTGTTTCTTTCTACCCGAGTGTCTGATACACCACTGACGGAGGAAGTCCACCCTATATCCCATAAGCGGGGATCAAATCGCTGTACGCCTTCTATACTAGAGCAAGTTTAGCTCTTTCAAATGTGAGTTTTATTTTTCCCTTCTTATTCATTTTTTAACATTTTACACTATTGGCTCTCCACCATTTTATCTTCCATATACGAGTGGATTCTCACGGATGAACATATAAAGGACAATTGCTCCGGATCAAGCACGGATAGATCCCATAACCACAAAGAGCATACTCTAGATAAGACTTTCTTATTTTACTACAGCTATTTATTTGGACTATTTGCAATTCTCATTTGTGTATTGGCGCAGCCCTTATCTTTTATTCTTTCTCTCTCTGCGTTATTTTAAGGGTTCTTGAGGGATTCCCTTATAGGGTTGCTGCCCTCATATTAGCTAGCGCTTACTCTTTGTTCTGTTTTAATTAGTTTGAGCCAGTTCGCCTGAATCAAATTCCTTTTAATCCACAGCCAAACATATGTTTGTCTGGGATTTACCTGTGGTGTCTTATCCATTGAATAAAACTTCACAGGTAAATCCTGGATGGATCAATTAATTAAGGTGTGGATTAAAAGTACTTTGTTTTGGATGAATCGACTCAAACAAGTTTTTGCACAAGCCTACTTTCAACTTTAAAAGTACTTAATGCATTGGCAATCCTGAGTGGGGAAGGCACCAAATCATACTTAGATCATTGGCATTGGGGCCCTTTACTCATTAAGGAAAGGAGATTATAATAGATTGTGAGTTATATCATTTTTATATACATATATATATAATTACCAGGAAAGAGTGCAGTTAAGGTTTTGTGATGCAAATCTTCCATCTTTATTTAATCAATTGCTTAACAGTGTCAACGTTTCAGTCCCATGCTGGACTTTTTTCAAGACCTTGAAGAAGGTCCAGCATGGGACTGAAACGTTGACACTGTTAAGCAAATGAAAAATTAAGATTGAAGATTAACATCACAAGACCTCAAGTGCGCTCTTTCATTGCAATTATATTATAACTCAATTATGCACCAGGGCACTAACAAGATGGAGATGATGTAAGTGCCAGGCTCCTGCAAAATATATATATATATATATATTATTATAATTTTTTTTATTTTTTTTTACATTTATTTATTTTATTTTAGCATCTAACTGATCGGGAGTTGGGTTTTCCAGAGAGAGGAGGTGGAGTCAGATTCCATAATTGGGTTCTGGCACCTCACCATCATAAACTTCACCAGTTGCCACAGATCACCAACATTTTCTAAACTCCTTACTGAGACTTGTCCTTATCGGATATTGATTTAATATGAATCGGTCAGTCACTGAGCATGTAGTTCTCCAAAATAGTAGTTCTGGTCCAGGCTGCATGTTACTGAATTCATTATATGCTTCATATTTAATGGTCAAGTTTAATGCATTGCTGCTCTCTATATGTAATGGTGAAATGCTTGGCTGAGCTTTATATGTAATAGAAATATACATCGAAAAGCTCAATGACCCGCAAGAAAATGCAATTATTAAGAGCCAAGCAGCGGAGCTCAATATTTGGCTGGAATAGATAGGTTTGTCATAAATAAAATATTTTCAGTCTGTGCGGTGCTATGTTCAATGCCAAAATGACAGAGCATTGTTGGTCATCCAGTGGTGATACCTTTTAAAGAAACAATCTGAGTACTTAAATCACTCAATAAAGTGATTTGGACATGGTTGTTGCCTCTGCAGCCTTGTAAATAAAAAAGTACCATTTGTGAGAAACGGCACTTTTCAGTTTCCACACTCTAGTGGCAGTCAGACCAGGGATACCAGCACAAACAATATTTCAGGCTTTCTGGAAAAAAAAATCTGTGCTCTGAGATCACTCTGTTCATTCTAAGCTGCCTCTTATCTGCATGGTACAGCCCCTTCAAACTGAACTCGGCTATCTCTGCTTGGCACAGCCTTCACATACTGAGTACAGTATGACTACACTGGGGTGACAGGGGCTGTATAAAAGGTTCTTCCCTCCTCTCTGAGACTTAACTTGGGCAAGGGAGAGGAGAAACAAACTTGGGAGATGCAACTTTACTGCACCCCCAGTGGGTGAAGACAGCTACTTTCAATGGGCACATGAAAATATGTCATTGTTGTTGTGCTAAACCATGGCAGCGCTCTGATATAGATCTTTTTATTTTTTTATTTTTTTTTATTTTTTTAATTCTTTATTTTTGGTGTGCATGGTATAACAATAGGCATGTGCAGCCACAATAGCAGTCACAAGCAGTAATATAACAGACAGTTGAAACATAACGTGGTATATGAGTATACAGCACATTTTGTACAGTGAGTGTTGCTTGAGATTTACTATGTCACAATGGCGGAGTTAGGAGATGTAAACACAGCGTTTGTACATTAGTGACATGGAGATATTGGCACATTTTTAAATGTTAAATTGTAGTTTGTATGCTAAGTTACGCTTTTATGAGCTTTAGTCTTGTGTGTCAGGTAAGGTTATGAGTACAGGCTTAAATACAGATTAACTTACTGACATGTTAGAAAATAGTAAAGTACCAAGCTTAACCAAATTAAGTGTAAAAGTAAAGTAAAGGAATATACCACCAGGCAAAGCAGGGCAGACTATATCATCGTCAGCATTGGGCATAAAAAACTAACTGGCATTTCTTATGTCACATTTTTAAATGTATTTTTATCAGGCTAGGCCAACGCGTTCATTTATGGTTCTCAGCAATTTAAAATGATATACAGAGCTATGCTTGCAAGATGTGGTGAATAGTATGTTAGGTTTAATTATCGAGTGTCGTATGGGTGGTGCCCAGGGTAGGGGCATTAGTTTGCATCACCAGATCAGTGTAGCGATGATGGGTTAATCGATGTCTCATTGAGTTAAAGGTCGGGCAAGTGTGAGGCATTGCCCAAAGTGTATATCTAAGGGCTAAGCTACAGCATGGGTGGTGAGAGTGTCTACACCTGTTAATAGGTATTAGCTGGGGTACGTGGTAAGTTTCATGGGCCAAATAAACTGATATGGCTATCTAAGGTTTATAGGATTTATGATCAGCTGGTAGGTAAACCTTACCTGATGGTTTGACTTGCACACACTCAAACTGTTGAGGAATAACATACGTTAAGAAGGTAAACAAAAAGAAAATACATTCTGCCCTCGGGATGATATCTGTCTCGGAGTGGATGGTTGCCCTCTGTGAGTGTGGGAGTATTGGAAGTAGCCAGTCTGATATTACAAGTCCCACAGAGTCCCACTCCGCCCGAACTTCAGCCTATCCCCTGAACAGTCCGCTTCCAGGCTTGCAATGTACCGATCTGACCCTCTTGCCAGGGTGAGAGTCGAACAGTGCGTGGGCGGAGGAGGCATGTGTGAAGTCCGGTTGGGCCTGCGGGATGTTGCAAGTGAGTGGCCCACTGTAGACCAGAATTGGGACCAGAAGCGCTCGAAGGCCTTTTCTATCCGCGCCTCTTGGAAGGCCATGGATATTGCGGCGGCCATCTTGCAAAATTGGTCACAGTGAATAGGGCGCACAGTTACTGCCGCTGTTTCCTCTTGACAATTGTGTTCCACTGTAGTGAGTTAGTCCACCAGTAGGGACCGGGATATCCCCCACCGGTCCAGAGGGGGGGGGAATCAGGGCACAGCGGTGAGCAGGAGCCGAGTGAGATGGAGGAGCGGCCGTCCCCACCACCTCAACGCTGTAGGCCTTGGACGCTGGCTGTGCTGTTATTACACAGCCTGTTGTCTTTGGCTCATTCAGCCTGCTTGCCTCCCGTGGGTAAGTAGTTAGGGCATTGTTGTTGTCGGAAATTGGGGGTTAATACCCCTGGTTATGATCAGGATCAAGCTTTTTCCTGAGGAACTCTGGCTTCGCACGTCTGCCTCGGTCGACTGCCAGGCCCCGCCCCCAGATATTTTTATTTTTAATAACATCTTATTATAAAATTATATTACTCACATTACAAATATAGGTTGACCCTATTTTAGCTCTCTATTTTATTTTCTTTTATTTTAAAATGTGATGTTAATTAATTTTCTGGTAACATGACTAATGACATCATCTGACCGTTTTTTTATTTTTTTTATTTTAGTTAGTTGGGTAGTTAAACAGAACAGATAGATCCTATTCTCTGTAACACTTTGATAAAGCCTGATTGTAGGCGAAACAAGTTAGTGTTTTACATTATATTTTTGTTTTATTATCTTGTTTTATAATAAAACTAGTTTTAATCTCATTTGGACATTCCTAATTTTATCTCAGACGATATTACTTGGAGGATTCCATACTTCAGTTTCCTAGGTGGGAAAGATACCACCAATGCCTTATAAGATTGAGCAAAATTTTGCTTTGCTCTCCTTTTGTGAGTATTCCTCCTTTTATCTGATTTTATTACTGTTTTATCCATATAGAGAGCACTATTTTCTGTTTTTATAGTTTGTCTGCTAGTGCATTCTTACTGCTGTAATGCAACACAATGAAAGAAAACGCTTCAAGCAACTTGCAAATGCTGTTTAGCATTAACAGGCCTGAGTATATCTCCCAACACAGGATCAGGACCTGAACCAGCATATACATAGGCGTTGATCATAACCTCCAAGCAAGTACATCTGGAGATAATTTTAAGCTCCAGAAAATTGTAAGTGTATTTCTTTCTTCTTAATATCACCAGCAATGAAAATACTGCTAAATACTAAGTTGTGTTTTTTTTTGTCTTTTTATCGTTTCATATTATCTCATACCCAATTGGAGTTGAGGATATTATTATCTTATACCCAATTGGAATTGAGGATATTCTTATTATCTCATACCCAATTGGAATTGAGGATATTGTTATTATCTCATACCCAATTGGAATTGAGGATATTATTATCTTATACCCAATTGGAGTTGAGGATATTATTATCTTATACCCAATTGGAATTGAGGATATTATTATTATGTTATACCCAATTAGAATTGAGGATATTGTTATTATCTCATACCCAATTGGAATTGAGGATATTATTATCTCATACCCAATTGGAATTGAGGATATTATCTTATACCCAATTGGAATTGAGGATATTATTATTATGTTATACCCAATTGGAATTGAGGATATTATCTCATACCCAATTGGAATTGAGGATATTATTATCTTATACCCAATTGGAATTGAGGATATTATTATTATGTTATACCCAATTGGAATTGAGGATATCATTATTATCTGAAACCCAATTGGAAGTGAGGACATTATTATTATCTCATAACCAATTGGAATTGATGATATTATTATTAACTCATAACCAATTGGAGTTGAGGATATTATTACTATCTCATACCCAATTAGAATTGAGGAAATTATTATTATCTCATATCTAATTGGAATTGAGATATTATTATTAACTCATGCCCAATAGGAATTGAGGATATTATTATTAACTCATGCCCAGTTGGAATTGATGGAATTATTGTTCTCATACCCAATTATTTTTGTGTATGACTGTTTGTAGTAGTGTGTATGTGCAGTAATGTGTGTGAACTTTGCCCTTTTTTTACACAGATATATGCGTTCTCTCAGAAACAGATAGATATATGTAATGTTTTATTTATAATTTAAATAATTTTTTTGTTGGGTTGGTTTGAATGAGTGAGGAAGGGAGGGTGCTTAAGCATTTTGTGCCTGGATGATGTACATCCAGCCCAGGACATCTACCAGCCATCATTATAGGAGGCGACGCAGACAGGCGGGGGTAGCAGAGTGTAGGTGCCATGCAGCAGATGAGTTCACTCATCGATAGCCCAGGAGAGGTGCAGGACTGGTATGATGGTGGCACGGGAAATTGCTGTGTAGACAGCTAGCCACTGGGTTCACTAAGTGAGCACTTAGGAGGGTAGTTTTCTCAGTCATATCTCCCCAAACTACAGTGTAAACCCTGCAAAACCAAACTGTAAGTTGTGTTTAAGTGATTTAGGGAATTTTCACCTTTCAAAAGAATTAGAATGTGTCACAAATATAAAGACTGAACTTGATAGACTTAAGTCTTTTTTCAGCCTATGCAACTATATATAAATAAAGGAACACCCCGGTCACCATAAAAAGTTGATCTAAATTAAGTTGTTATGGTGCCAGGAGGCTCCCAGGCGCTCTCCTACCTTAAGGGGTTAAACCATTTTTGAATGGTTTAACCCCAATGGCTGCCTCCAGCGCCAATCTCCAGGTCCACCAGGTGGCATCTGGCTTCTGAAAATTAGTGACAAGGAGTGTAGAGTCCCACCGGCAGGGGTGCGGCTGATTGGCAATGGTCAGCTGATGCTCTAAGCCAATCAGTAGCTCCCCATTCATAATCAAGGTACCTGTAATAAAGAAATATGGCAAACTCGTAAGACATGACATTTAAGAAATAATATATAAATTAAGCCTTTAATAAAAAATCTTTTTTTTTAATTACCTTTTTCAAAATAAGTAGTACATGTTTTTAAATTAAAATGTCAAGCAACTTTTCAAGAAGCTTTTCTAAATTGCCCGTTTCAACTCTATACTTCCAGAAAAAAAAAAACAGGGAGTGATTGACTCTGCAATGAAAACTGTACATACAATCACAGGAAGGGTAAAGGTGACAATTTTGTTATTTGCAATCAAATTAAAACAATTGATTATATTCGATATAATAAGTGCTCATCCCTTGCACGACAAGAGAATTAAATCCCAAGGAAGCAATTTAAAAAAGAAAATCAATATTCCTATATAAAATATAGGGAAAACTAATTTTTACAGTTTGTTTGAGTTATCAAACAGATTATTTGCACACGGTGAGGAAATTGCTTTGAAAACTAGATGAATATTGTGTCCAGTTACCATTTCTACAGATTGCCTTATTATACTTCGGCTGACAGCAAATCTTTAAAAACTATTATCGAACCTTAACTGATGATACGATTGTCACTTCTGACTTTCAGTTTACTTTAGTAACTAGTTCAAATCCTGGTTTTGTTTTTTTTATTTTACTTGAGGTCATTTTTATTGGATTTGCTCTGATTGATAAATTAATTAACACCTGCCCACTCCTAACACTGAGTTACTGAAACATCACGCACAAATTGCTCTGTCTTCCTGTTTGTCTTACTAAACCTCTGTTAGTCTGGACATCCTTGACCTGTTCCCCAAGGTGTCTTTGGCCATGTCTGTGTCTTTGTGTTTGGCCTAAAGCTCAATACTGCATATAAGCAATGAAGTATCTTGTATTATCTAACGTATATTCAGATAAAAAAAAGATAGGTGTACAATGAAAAGAGACAGAGAGAGAGCCTGTGTGTGTTGGGACACAACGTTGGGGCACAAAGCGTTAAATATGGAGCATATGACATACACATAGCAAGGATCTGTAGTGAATACGTTTTGGTATTGTGTTTTTTTTTCTCTTTTTTTGTAAAGATGTGAGAATTGGGTATGAGATAGTGGTACATGCACGCCAGGTTGCCTGCCAATCAACTAGGCTGGCTCACAGAGAGCAATGTTTCAGTACTCTCTGCAGGATTCTAATTCCCTGATCATAGCAGGAGCAAGTCTAATGATGAGCTTGTGCTGTGCTTGTTAGGAACAGTTCCCTGGTGTCTCTAAAAGTGGGACACTAGTGAATAAATCAGAGGCAGCGGGACAGGACGTGAAAATTGGGACTGTCTAGCCGAAATTGTGATGGTTGGAAGGCTTGTTGGTAAGTAGGCAGATAATTAAATTGTTTAGGTTCCAAATCATCTGCAGCCAGGCAAAAAAAAAAATGTCAATTATGTTCAATATTAAAGCCATAACATTTAAAAAAAAAAAAAAATGTGATCTAATACTCATAGTTTATTCATCATTCTAAAATGAAGAATCCTTTTTTTGGTCATGTAACTACACATAATTCGCTCCGTAAATCATGTAAAACAAAGTTTTACCCTAAGAGAAATTTCATTTTATTATTTCAAATAATTAGAATTTTGTTATTTTTCTTGGGATACATTATCAGTGTTATTAATGAAAATGAGAATTGATAGAAATTCAAGGTGAATTTTAGATTAAAGGCCAAAGTAGCTGAACTGCTAGCGAAGTTGATTTGGATAATTTTTCAGTTCAGCTACTTCGGTCTTAAATTTCAAAGATACTGTGAAACACAGACAATTCCCACTTTAGTGAAAAGCCCTGTTTGTTAATTTGTTTAAGAGACGTAAGGTAACCGAGCAAGCGTAGGGGGAGCATAATGAGAGTTGCAGTTGAACCAGCTGTGATTCAGAATAGGAAATGTTTTTTTTTTTTCAATTTACTGCTGTTTATTAACAGAAAGGAGCAATTTTCCCTTTAGCTGTGATTAACCTTAGGCTCTTTACAAATACAAATGGCAGAATGTCTCTTTTTGCCATTGTTACACCCAGCTGCACATTTTTGATTGAATACTGCAGTATTTCTACAGTAAAACAGACTCTGCGTTGCTGGGCGCACTTTTGCCATTATATAACGCAATGATGGATGACACAT